AGCAAAGCTGCACTGACGTCTCTTAGTTTTGTGTATACTTGATTTTGTTCACCATATATGCATGTCTTAGTCCGTTGGCTCTTCTTCTTTCGTTCGCCTTTTCGTGCCGGGCTTTGAAGGGACATTTGCTGGGAACCTTGGCATTTTTATAATAGATCTTGCTCGGTATTCACTGGCTCAGATATTCCATATATCCATTTTGCGGTCGACCTCTAGATTTGTTTCAGTTGTGTCTGTATGACAGGGCTTTCTTTAGTGCACTATCTTTTGGTAGTTTTGACACATGTCCGAACCATTGTGTCTGTTATCTCTTAATGTTTTTAGTACTGGTTCCGTCCCACCTTTTCCTTAAATTGTAAATTCCCCCCTCTTGTGTGTGTCTGTGTGTGTGTGTGTTGTTACATTTTGGTTTCGTTATAGGCATTCAATTTTTGTTGTTTCGATTTTTCTCTTTCCTTTTGTTTTTAATGTTCACGTTTTGCACTAGTGAAGTGTAATTTCTTGACAACTGTCCATCCCCGACACGTTTTACTGTAAATCCGCAGGATTGTTGTTTCAAATTAAAATCAGCCCAGGTTGTAGAGCGTTAATGTCCATAATAGTGTTTAATGATTATAACTAATAAAACACAGAAGTAATATAAAATGCAAAAATAAAATAAAATGCAAACCATACACCGTCAGATAATGGAATAACTTAGAAACACAATGAAAGACATGAAATGTGGTTTCCAATATACAGATCGTCATAAGCAACAGTTCAATCTACAACTTTGTTTAAACTGCTTGCCGGCAGAGGGAGGCAATGATAACTCTTCATACCAGTTATTTTTACACTGCTGTTAACTAATACACATTAAAATACATGCGCACATGATGTGTGTAGGAACATAAACAATTTACTACACAAAAATCAACCCAAAATTCAACTTTCCAGATTGGGTATGCCTGTGTTATTATCACCAACCATTCCCATGATTCTGAGCACTCATGGTTCGCCGTCTTTTTTTCTTTTTCTTTTTTTTCTCTGTCCTGAATAAGCACGCGTCAAAGACATTAACACATGTATCTGTTTGTCTTCTACTGCCACATTTAATCTGTCAGCTGCCACCCAGTTTTCACTGAGGAGAAAAATGCAACGAGGAATGACTAGGGGATCTGGCCGACAATATGTACTCAGAGTCAAGGTAAGACGGACATACACTCAGACTGCTGCTGGCACCATTGGAGTTGGTACTCTTCGCTGGCTGTTGAAGATAAAGATGGAGCAGATTTGGGAATGCCTCTAGTGCTGTGATGTCGATTCCTAAAACTCCACTCAACTCAACTGAATTCAATGCAAGTTTTCAGTTGTATTTCTCCATAGATTTGTTCCCGTGTGTGTGTAGCCCTGACGAAATGCACTTATACATATCAAGGCCTCATTTTTTTTTTTAAACGTTCTTGGGTAAGACAGTGTTGCCACATTTACATAATCAGTAAAGCGAGTTACCTGGGTGCAACATTTATCTCGAGTTCCAGCTTTATGCTGAATGTTGTGGCCTCATTTAGCTACGCTTTTGTCAGTCAATCAAGGATTATGTCACGGGCAAGGGTACTCTCCTTTGTTATGCTATGTTATGTTATGTTATGTTATGTTGTTATGTTATGTTATGTTATCACAATTGACGTCTTTGCACATTGGTCATCCCCATGCGTGCTCAGTCCTCCGATGCAGCAGCCACTCCAAGGTATCTCTACTCCATGAGGAGTTGGTTATAGTGTCTCCTGTCTTTACCTCGTAGACAAAATAGAAGTGCTTCACCAAGCTTAACTCCTCGGTCATACAGGCGTGTTAGCCTTAGAGATTCGCCGTTATCCCCCAGCCTAGTCCGTACAAGAGTTGACAATGTCAGCTTCATCCCGTTTGCATTTGTGCATTACTTGCCAGCGGGTCAGCTCTTTCATTACCGCGCACTCTTGCGTGGCTATGTGTGAAGATCCAGATGATGGAGGTTAACTGCGAATTTCGTGTGCTTTCTACCCATTCTGAACGTATACTAACTGTAGCGATTTTCTAAAGCATGTTCATAGAATCTGAAGCGATTACCGCATGTATGGTGGCTTGCTCTGCTACCCATGCGAGTGCTCTGGAAGCAGCAGTTATCTTCATGGTCATGCTTGCCCTAGTTGTCTGGTAAACATCGATATCCTCTTTTTTTGTTTTCACCATCCTTTGTGCTGTGTATGCCCATGCTGATCTTGATGCACGCTTCGCTAAACCATATGTGTAAGTAACGACGTCTTCTGGGAGTGAATGCTGACCAATCAGTACCTTAATCTCTACGGTGGCAGGTATCTGACTCATGCAGTACTTCCCCAGTGTTATGACAACCTTAGACAAGTCATGCATGTTTACTGGTGTATCCGTCCATTCTTTTCCGTGACTGATCTCGTCTAGGTCACATACTTGCTTGATTAGATGTTCTGTCTCGGATATCCAAGAAGAGCCTCTTTTAAGATGCATCCCTTTTATAGCGTAGTACAGTGGGTGGTTGATATATTTTTATATATTTTATAGTCTTTTTGTGCTTCAAAGGTTTTCCGGTGAATATTCAACATGTTTGTCTAGTATGGAACTGGGGAGCTCTGAGTTTAAAAAAAAAAACCAATAAAGTATTTATAGGATATTTCGTCAAGTCAAAGACACAGCCATTTCTTCCACATCTTAAAGCTTAGTGGTTATATGTTACTAGCCCCAGCTGTTATAGACCATCTGTCATTTGATGAGCCATATGGTCAACCAATAAACAGCGTTCTACTGGATCACCTGACCGTTACGACCTAACCTGCTGCTACTGTGCGTGAGTGCATCCCCTCATAATAACATCTAAAAATACGGCGAGAGTCCCATGGATAAAATGTCAGGACTATGTAGATAGGTTGTCGAGGCTGGACCCACTTTGGGGTGTACTATAACTGCACAAGGCCGGGGCGATCTTTCTCCTTTGGGACGGGGTAATAAGTAAAATGGAAGATACCGAAAATCCTATCTGGAGAGAATAATGCAACGAAGAGAGTCTGGGTGCTCTATGCACCACTCGAGACTTGAGGGAGGGAGCAAGACGAGTAGTTAACCAGATGACAACCGGTACATCGGTACGAAAACTCTTCGTTGGTCGTGGAGGACAAATCGAACATGGGCTTTCCCTGAATGCTGTGATGTTTAATTGTTACCTAGATAAACTCAACAGTTAAAGCTACAAGATAAGAACACAGAGAGCAGAAGTTTCACAATTCCGCCCAAACTGTAAAACTTTACTCAAAGTGATCTTGAAAAATTGCTGGTAACTGAAAGTTACTGCTTCTCGACAGGACAGTAGTTTGAGACCTTCAGGACAGTTCTTCTAATCTGTCCGCAATTGGTAGTAAGGGATAATTTACAAGGTTTCTATCAGAATGTATAGCCTGTAGTTTTAGAAAGAGGGGATTCTATTTTTTTCACGTCATTCTGTTTTAAATCTAAGGACGGTGGTTTCAGTTGTGGGTAAAATAAAATTGTAATTATAAAATGACAATGTCGATTCGCTAGTAAATTGTAGTTTTACACGTCGCTAGTCTAGTTTACACTGGCTTGTAAATAATTGTGTGTCGGGTTTAGAAATGAAACGCTACAGAACACTTCATGCGTTAGGTGTTTTCTCACACTAACGTATCTCTTCACCGATGAGTGTCTGTTATTGTAACCATTGACAGAAGGACAGAGAAAATATGATACGAGTTCACATTTTTGTAAATCTTCCGTGAAAAAAAACTGGTCGAGTCGTTTTCTACTGTTTTTTTTTTTTTTAGCCCCGTCACGAAAATATCCGAAAAAAAAAGATGTGAAGGCTGAGACACTGTAAAATATGCATCTATTTTCTATTAAATACTTCAATAAGCCAACCTTTTCTAACCGACTCATCTCTGATTCTTTATTCTAGTCAACAATCCCATGTCTGTAGTGATTACGTCATTGCACGCTCTAAGAAATGGGACAATTCACGCGATGGGATATGAATGAAGTGTAATCAAACAGCTAAAGATACAATTATGTGACAAGAAGGAGAACATACAGTTCTTGTTGGATAGTTCACACCATGGGAAGGACAACCACCAAAGTTTCGCTGTTTTTCTAAATAATAAAACAAATAAATGTTTATTTGATGTCACTGCTCTATGAAACGATACTGCATTCATTTGTTACATTTGCTGTTGCACATATTTGAAGTGTTACCCGCACAGTCGCTACTATTGCTTCCAGCCTGTAGATGAAGGAAGAACTACTCGGCGAATCAAGAGTCTGGAGCTGATACTTCCTGATGATACTCCACGAAGCAACAACATGATGATGTCTGTGTTGAATTCAAGAGCTGGCTGATCAAGACACCTGGCGCTGTGTGCTCAGGGTTCTCTGTCTGGCTGCTACACTCAAGGCTTGTAAGGAGATACAGAAGACCAAAGCTTACATCTGTTTAGTCATTTGCTAGTCAGCCAAACACAGCCTACACAGTGCGTAAGTTGTTGATCTGCAAGCGCTTAGTTATTCTCTGAAGTTTTAATTTCACCTTTTTTTAAATTTAATTATCTGATACAGCAACTCATTATTTCGCCAAGCTCCAGACCTTCGACAAGCACAGCAGGGTTTGCTCTTATCCTGATTTTAAAACCTCAAACAACAAACAATGTCATGAAAACACATTCATTTTAAAACTGCACTTTCACTGAAATGATGAGCTCTTCGAAGAACTTCCGTGACAAACCGTTTTCAGTGTGGTTTCTCTCGCCATCTTCCTGATCAATGTACGGATTCCATCCAGCCAACAAGATGCGCCGCACGAACGTCTTACTAATCGAATGTTGATGGTTGAAACTGGATAACTGTTGGTGATAAATTCCACAAATCCTACAACATACACATATTTGTCACATCTAGGGAAAGAATAATAGAAGGATAACGATTACCATCTAGCGGTTCTCGTGTCACAAATCTGTTCCGGGAATAATCGGCTGCTTGTATGCCACCGAGGGATAATGGCCAGCCCCGAATCTGTAATCCACAGTGGGATAATGGTAATCATGTTCTTCCCTGGCCTGCTGTGTGTCATAGCTCTCCTGGTGCCAACTCTTGGGTCTGGCAGTCTGTTGCTGGCTGGGTCTCTGCTCCTGCCAGGCAGCTGTCCTGGAGTCCTCTTGCCTTCTTTGCTGTTGGGAGTCCTGCCACCTGTTTTCCGGTTGATGTCGCTGCCAATCTTGGAAGCGATCGGCGGCAGAGAAAGACTCTGTGTTGCTTTGCCACGCCTTTACTTTGTTGTAGTTGTCTTGCTGTTGCTGTTGTTGTTGCTGCTGCTGCGTCTGCTGCTGCTGTAAACGCCGCTGCTGCGGCTGGGTTGATGGGGTGTTTGGCTGCGGAGCCAGTTGTCGGACAGGAGAAATGTGATGAAGCTGCTCCGCTGAAAGATGGAAGACATTGATGATGTTACTTGTCATTTTTACTTTAGGTTCATTAGGTTCACACGTAAGATATTATGCAATATACACAGTAGACTGACAGACAGACCTGGTAATATAGAGTCTGACAGACAGAAATAATAAAAAAAAGTGCAAATGGGCTGAAGACAGACAATCATATTAAAAGACAGGGTAGACAGACATTCTGGCAACCAAGAAAATACAGACACATTTTAAAACATGTCGGGTATGCGCACATACTTATAGCCTTTAGACAGACATAAATACAGACAAACAGGAGGATAGACGGAAGACAGACAGTTATATCAACAGAAAAGTAGAATAATTTAAACAAACTGGCAGAGGTAGAAGAACACACATACATGACTATATAAGTTGGAGGCAGAAAAACAGAAGGTGATTAAACAGGCAGACACAGAGACAAACATTTAGACAGTAAATATACAAGCACGACAGACCCAGCGACATACATCAGGTAGGCCAATAGATAGTCATGGAATCTGACAGTCAGGTATACATACAGGCATGCCTACAGATAGCCATGCATACTGACAGTCAGGTATACATACAGGCATGCTTACAGATAGCCATGCACACTGTCAGTCAGGTATACATACAGGCATGCCTACAGATAGCCATGCATACTGTCAGTCAGGTATACATACAGGCATGCTTACAGATAGGCATGCATAGTGACAGTCAGGTATACATACAGGTATGCTTACAGATAGCCATGCATACTGACAGTCAGGTATACACACAGGCATGCATACTGACAGTCAGGTATACACACAGGCATGCTTTCAGATAGGCATGCATACTGACAGTCAGGTATATATACAGGCATGCATACTGACAGTCAGGTATACATACACTCATGCATACTGACAGTCAAGTATACATACAGGCATGCATACTGACAGTCAGGTATACATACAGGCATGCTTAGAGATAGGCATGCATACTGTCAGTCAGGTATACATACAGGCATGCTTAGAGATAGGCATGCATACTGTCAGTCAGGTATACATACAGGCATGCTTACAGATAGGCATGCATACTGACAGTCAGGTATACATACAGGCATGCTTACAGATAGGCATGCATACTGACAGTCAGGTATACATACAGGCATGCTTAAAGATAGCCATGCATACTGACAGTCAGGTATACATACAGGCATGCTTACAGGTAGGCATGCATACTGACAGTCAGGTATACACACAGGCATGCTTACAGATAACCATGCATACTGACAGTCAGGTATAAACACAGGCATGCCTACAGATAGGCATACATACAGACATGTATATGAAGATACAGCAGGCATACATACAGACAGACAGACAAACGGACAAGCAGAACAGCTGAAGAAATCACAAAAAGACGGAAACATGACCAGTCAGACAGTTAATGGCCAAAGAAGGGTGAAGAGGAACATTCAGTAGATGGACAGAGTGATAGTCGGACGGACATGCAGACAGCAGACGGGCATAAACATAAGTGGACAGACATACAGACAGATGGGCAGGAGACGGTACAAATATAAGTAGATAGACAAACTGCATTCTTGAAAACTAGCTTTACACAAACAGGACATTTTATTTAGTCGAGGGACCTAACAACAGGCAGTGTACTGCAGGACTCGTTTGGGATCCGTGTAACAGAGACACCTGGTCACACTTGAATAAAAGCCAGATGAGTGCAGTGGGATAATATGGGATTTCCATAACTGCCATAGGTCTTAGATATTGACAGGCATTCCCCCCCTCTCTCTCTCTCTCTCTCTCTCTCTCTCTGTGTGTGTGTGTGTGTGTGTGTGTGTGTGTGTGTGTGTGTGTGTGTGTGTGTATGCGTTCGTGTCTGTGTGGGTGGGTGGGTGTTGGAAAGGGAAAACGTGACAGAAATTGGAACAGTTTGATAAGTATTCTCCTGTCTCTAAGTGATGATATTATGACATGTGGTGAACAGGTGCCATGATCTTTATCTCAAGTTCTGATACAATATTCCTGGTGGCTAGCTTTAAGAAGAAACTCCACAGGGGAGCAGGTACAGCAGGAGTCTACCAATCATCAGTAGAAATGATCCCTCGTCCACAATTGTTTCGCCCCACGAGCTCCTAGACAATTTCAGAGAGTGGGCTCCCCTGAGTTCATGAAGTTCAGGCTTGATCTGCTCCTGCTGCACCTATTACCGGACGTTCTGGGACAGGGACACGACGAAAATGGTGACTATTCAACAGATACTGTGAGCTTCGAAGTTTATTCACATAGTCGCTGCGGTAGGCTATTAGAACAGTCGGCATACCTCGACGACCAAGTGGCAAGCTTACGGTTGGTTTATCAGACACATGTTAGACTTTAAGGATAATGAAGAAACAAACAGGGGCTACAGAATGGGGATGGTGGGGTGGAAGTGGAATCTTGCAGTCTGTTACAGTTTAGATGATCTTAATTACACTAAGTATTAATCTGAGCTTTATGTCTGTCTGCCTTTCCGTCCGTCAGTCTGTTCGTCCGTCCGTCCGTCCGTCTGTATGTTTGTCTGGCTGGCTGTCTGTCTGTCAGTCTCTCTCTCTCTCTCTCTCTCTCTCTCTCTCTCTCTCTCTCTCTCTCTCTCTCTCTCTCTCTCTCTGTAAATGTATGTATGTTTGTACATAACCGGTGAGACTACAATTATATAATACCATTATTCATATTACTATGCTATTGCTACATGAATTTAACAGGTAACATACCGGGTGGATGAACCTGTAAAAAACATGGTTGGAAACCCCAGTGTTCCACCGGCATCCATGCAATCCGCTGCACACGTTATGCCTGCTAAATATCACTAACAAATGAACTAGATTGTTTCTCCACAAGAAACCAATGAACCAGAAGGAAGAAACACCAAATGACTTACCCACTGGATACTCTATTCCCCCAGACCATCCCTTAGCAATCCGATTGAAGTTTGTCCCCTTGATCATCATTGGCGAATCGTCTGATTTAAGAGAGTAGTGAACTAAAGGCACAGCTGGTGTTTGGGCATTCTGCACGGCTCCTGGGTCTCCCTTCCAGCCATGCTTCAGAGCTACCTCTCTTGGGTTCAGATGATGATCTTCACCTTGCGACGCGTCGTCAGGTTTCCCATGGGGCAGCGGGAATTTGGCATTAGTTTCGTCGTACACAAACTTGTCTGACCTTTGCCTCCGTCTTTCGAACATGCGACCACCCTTTCCTTTGTGAGCTTTCAGATCTGCCACAATATCAAAGCAGGGGTCTGGGGGCAGCGACTTGTGGTCACATTTCTTGGAACTCAGTCTCAGTTGCTCGAACTGCTCCTGAGTCAGCGACATCTTGGTACTTTTAGCTTCGTTTCCCACCCGCTGTTTGATGCTGGGGATCTTGAAGTAGAAGTTCCCGCCTTCGTCTGGGTTCAACTCGCTGTCCAGTTCATGAAGGTTGGCCACGTCACCCGCTGAAGAAGACAGTTCGCTGTGACCTTCGTGAATCCATTTGCTGGACTTCCGCTTTCTTTTCATGAACATCTTAGCGCCTCGGGCTCGTTTGTTTGCAGCAGAGGTCAAGGACTGGGCGATCTTCTTGCACAGCTTCATCTGCTCGGTGATAGTTGGGTAGGCTTTGCCGGGCGTGTTGTAGAAGGCTGAGTCCGAGTACAAGTTTTCTGGGTTGGGCAGAACAGTGGTTACATTACAAGGAAGTCCAGAGTGTTATAGCTATTGTATTAGTTGTGTTGTATTGAGGAAGCCGTCGTGGTCTACATGATAGATGCTCGCCTGAGAATCTGAAGGTCGTGAGTTCGGGTCCTGACAGGTGCCGAACTTTTTTTTTTTTTTAAATACTGACTTTGGCTTCCAGGTCAACCCAGCCTTGAGTGGATACCAGGTACAGTCCTGGGAAGTAAAGGCGGCTGGTGTGATGCCCACCACATCACCCACCAAGTGCAGTTTGGTCTAAACAATAGGTGTAGCTCTATTTACAAATACACCTGAAGGCGTGGACAAGGGTCCTTTACTTTTTGACTTTATGTTGTATAGAGCTTAACATGTATTACTGCTTCTTATTATTGATGCAAATCATCATGTATCAGGTTGTTACCTGGTGCTCGGCAACACACTGGATAGGATTGCGAACCCGATTCAAGATTCTAGCTATCGTGCCAGACGGCGAAATATGACCATGCCCGCTTACTGAAGTGGCAAATTATGTTAACGGCTTTTGTGTCTTTTATTCCCCGCTGGATCATAGACCAGGTACAGTCATGGAATGTAAAGGCGGCTAACTCATTTCTTTAAACCTCTTTTTTTAAAAAACTATGACAGACACCTCACTGAGCTCATTATCTTGCCATTATATTCATTCCACACGCACACACACAGAAAACCATATAATATATTTCTTTTACTACAATATCTCCAGACTTTTCGCAGTTATAAATATATTGACCACAAACAGTTGCGTGAAAAAATATTCCCACTTAATTAATTTACAGGACAGTAGAGTTATGATTTAGCCATCCACAAAAATCTAATTATATCATCGCGTCCCTTTGTGGGATGCAATTTTCCGTTATTTGATCCCCACCCTCGCTTTTGCCGGGCGCCCCGAATATAGCTGGGCCACAATTAGGGCCATAACGGCTGAAAAGGGTTTCTGGGACCTCTCCACGGGTGATACTCTGTGTGTCACCGGAGGTATATCGCTTGTGTGATGTCCTGATGGGGTACAATAAGCAAGCAACAAACAAAAATAGAGTTAACTGTAAAGCATAAACCGCCAAGTGTGCCGCTACAAAGAAATATTTGAAGGAACAAAAAAAAAGGGGGGGGGGGAGGCGAGGGTATGTGGGTCAGCCCTTTATAATTTTACAGGGCAGACCCGAAGAACTTGAGCTTTGTTTGAACGCGCAATAATAATAATTATTACTGTTTTGAATGCCCCCCCCCCCCTCCCCCCCCCCCCCTCCCCCCAAATAATTCTATTTTAGAAATTATTTCAAACTTATAAACCTAGAAAATAGAACGTAAATACAGGACTGGGAGTTGGGGGGGGGGGGGGGGGTCACCTAGACCTCTTGCTAATATTTTGGTAGGAATTTTTGTTGAGCGAGTCTCAGCCCCGTAAATTAAGGGTGGGGGTGGGGTCAAAGTACCTGAGCTCCCAAGTGCTGGCTCTTATGATAACAATAACGTCTTACTTAGAAAACACAAAAGGAATAGATACAAATCAGTAGACTTACTCTTTCGTCTGCTTCCGATGGAGTCTGGACTGGAAGCTCCATCCTCATAATCATCCATGTAGTAGTGATCGTCGTAGGCTGGGTGCGGGGATCCCTCGTCGGGGTGGATCTCCACGGGAGGGGCAAATATGTGCAGTCTGTGTTTGTGTGGGTCCTCGTGGACCTCCTGGCTCTCCTGTCCGTAGACGTCCTGGTACCTGTGGTTGTGGAAGGATCAAGGTCAGATAGAGACTGGCATGATCTGATATAGTTAACATTTCACAGAGTAGCAGAGCCCTTGGTGAAATAAAGGTTCGTACGCCCGCATGCCAAGACAGTGGTCTGGGTTTAGTGTTAATAACATCATTACCAAAGGCTAACCTGAGTAAAATTAACACCTTTGAAATGTGATGTCTGAGGCAAGCTGTCAAACTAAAGCATCTAGGACGTGAGAAACATGAGAAATGATTTGATTAGACTGGGAACAAAACCCATGAACCAAATTCACGGAGAAACAGAAGATCGAATGGTTTGGTCATCTCGTTAGAATGCAACCACAGCAATAACTAACACAGGCGGTACACGTGAACAAATCTGATGTGACGGTATGAGGTTACCCTAGAAAAAAATGAACTGATGACATTAAAGACTTTCTCCAACCTTTTAAAGGTGGCGCCTGCCCTTGAGTATATGGCAAGACCCACACATTCCACATCTCCTCTCCACATAAAACCAAATTTGATTTAAAAGAGGATGACAAAATGGTGAGACCAAAAAGGTGAGGACACAAAGAGGATGACAAAAAGAGGATGACAAAATGGTGAGACCAAAAAGGTGGGGACACAAAGAGGATGACAAAAAGAGGAGGACAAAAAGAGGATGACAAAATGGTGAGACCAAAAAGGTGAGGACACAAAGAGGATGACAAAAAGAGGAGGACAAAAAGAGGATGACAAAAAGAAAAGGACAAAAAGAGGACCCAAAAAAATTCGAAGTGCCCATAACAAGAACTTGTAAAAAAATACACATGTAATTTACCTTCAAAAAAAAAAAAAAAAAAAAAAAAAAAAAAAAAAATAAATAAATAATCTTAAACTATAGTAATTTATTATCCAGATGAGAAAGTGATGTTAGACACTTTCTGTTGTAGTCTGGTAGTCTTAGTTTCAGCTTCATAGCAAACGGGTCACCCCATCTTTGCTCCGTTCCTGTGCCAACGAAAAACACACAGAATGTTTATCACAGTATTAGAATTGCAGTTCATCATTGATGGTAGCAGAAGTCGCCAACAGATCAGCAGTTGCCCACGCGATCAATTTTAATCACATACGGGCACCACAACACTGCACGACAGGCATCGCGCCATTTTCTTAATCTACAATTCACACCAACACGTTGGTCGCAGTCGAAAAAACATTCCAAATGCAATGAGCACTTTCTGTTGTGATGACCTCTGCTATTTTTGTCTTATGCTAGATTATTGTCGAGTGTTGTGTTATGATATATCTAGAACACCATCTACAGAAGACATCAAGGAGGACAGACAGAAAACTCAGGTGATGCTATAGACTCACTCGTGTTTGGGAGCCTGCGATGCCAACAGTTTCCTCTTCTGTTCTTCAATGAAGGAGTAGCCAGGTTTTGAAGGAGGGAGGTCCTCTCTCGGGGGCGCTGTTTGTGGCTGGTCGCGTGGAGAGGGCGGCTGCTGGCCGGGTAACCACATGTTGGGGCGCCAGACTTCCGGGGCCGTGCTCTTGGCCTTGTCTGAGACAATATTCTTAACCTTCGAGTAAAAACCACAAAATCTATCAGTTCTACAATTTTTTTTTTAAAGTTTACAAACAGCAGTTCGGTTGACGGATTCAGCCAGGGGCTATTTCGTCTAATTTCTATTCGCAGGTTAATCTACTTAATAAAGTATCCTATTTCAACCATGTCTACTGATTCACACCCTTGCATTACTTTGAACAGTAGAACTGGTCAGGGCCGGATACGGGGCCTCGGAAACTTTGAGTGCCAAACCCCTTTTTTTAAAATAATTTTAGGCTGTTAACTTTTTCCCAGGATATTTTGAAACAGGGTTTAGCGGTATCGATAAACATGTACCAAAGTTTTATTTTAAAGTAATTGTTGATAAATTTAATATTATTTCTGATATATTGTTATTTATTCGTCACTCAGCAAATTATTATTATTACAGCCTTAAATAAGACGTTGGCCACTTGAGACTTTCTTCTGCAGAACACTTGTAAGGGGGTGAGCACCGGCCCCCCCCCCCCCCGTCCTCATTTCCCTCCTCTGATAACCTTAATGTTTTCTTTGTGTAGACGCCCCTAAAGCTGGTCACCTTGGCCGTACTGTGTAGAACATTGTATTTTCTGTCTGGTGATGTGTTGATGCTGAAGATGGTGTCTTGATGGACCATAAGTTCAATAACCCATATAACAGGTATGATATTTCACAGGCAGCTTCAAATTATCATCATCATCATCATCATCAAGGGACAATGTGACACTTGACAAGATCGCTGCATAGTGCCTTTGTTTACTCCAGCAAACATTGATATCAGGTTAGATTTTCGTAGTGTTGGAGAGTCCACAGCCTGCTTGCCAGGATTCTGGTTTTGCATACCATAGTGTGGCCTTTGTTCTTTCTGACTACGAATATGGATGGACCTTCTCGGTAGCGCAGATACCGTTTGGAGTCTGAGAGCCCCTCTAATTCTGCAGGATAGGGACACAGGAGAAGGTTGTAAGAATTGAGTATAACTAGTTTAACAACCAACAACTGTGTTCCGTTTACTTATAGCCTAGGGAGACACAGGAGAAGGACTGCAAGAGCTAGAGGGAACAGAAGTACTATAACGACGTGTTCACAGACCTCCAACATGGCCTGGGGAGACACGGGAGAAGGACTGCAAGAGCTAGATGGAACAGAAGTACTACAACAACTGTGTTCCGTTAACTCTAAAATGGTTTGGAGAGACACAAGAGAAGGACTGAGAACTGGTCGGAAAAAATATACTGTTTTAATAAAACTTGCATAGTTATGCAATAGCGCTTTGTGTGGGTGGGTGTGGTGTGTGTGTGTGTGGTGTGTGTGTGTGTTTTGTCGACAGAAAAGCCTGCACGCCCAAACACTATCGATAACCCAGGTGCAAAAAAAAAAAACTCAACTCATTGGTTGAACCCTATGAAATTCTTATGTGCAATTCGAACAGTTTCACCTAGTAAATTACAAAGATTTTCGCCTTGATTTCATGACAGTTACCGTAAATCTTGGACAAATTGGGCTTTTCTGCCTTCCCCCGAGTGTGAACTTGGACCACAATAAGTTTGTCACCCGGTCGCCGCGCAGCTTGTTTAACAAACTTTAGCTAGCTTGCCGAAGTACAGCATAAAAGAACACATGCGTACACTGACCTGAAACATGGGCTGAGGAGACACGTTCTCTTTGCCCTCCCTGAACCTATCCTGAACATTGTGATCAGCCAATGGCGAGGGAGCACTGAAGAGACCTGTGACATCCTTCTTGATAGAACTCGGCACGAATTTTGTAGGTTTGAACAACTGCGTCTCCGTTCTGTTGTGCTGAGTATCCGTACTGTAACTAGGGGCTGTTGGTGCTTGGTACTGTTGCTGTAAGATGTTCGATGGGATCGAGCTGGCGAACGGAGTGGGACCTTTCTGAGTGATGATGCTTGTGGATTTCACTGTGGTGGTTGTGGTTTTGATGGACTTCTGCGCTGGTTTGATGACTTCATGTGGCTGGACTGCATTGAATGCAGATGTTTGGCCTTTGACAAATGAAGGACGTCCAGAAGTTGTGGTCACTTCTCGTTGAACCACAGTGGTGCTACTGCCATCTGCGCTTCGCTGAACATGTTGCTCACGGGTGAGCTCTCGATGTGTTTGGCCGCGGTCGAAAGTTGAAGACGCCGCTGTTGGGGTCACACCTGATGGTGTAGCCCCAAAACTAGGAGGCTGAGGACTAGCTCCAAAACTAGGAGGCTGAGGACTGAGAAATCTTTGAGGCTTGGGGCTTACTGGTGGAGGTGGTGGAGCTCGAGGCGGCTGGGAGCTAAAGCGTGGTGGGTGAGACGTACTGTAGGACTGAGAAACAGCAATACTAGTCTGAGGGCGAGGACCGCCAGGAGGAGGCTGTCGAACTGGTTGGGGCTGGCTGGGGTGAAAGTAAGGAGGGCTTTCCGATCCGGCCTGGGTGACATAAAACGGTTTAGCTGAAACATTAGGGGCAGATGTAGCAGAATGAGTATCCCGTGGTCTAGCGTCAGAAGAGATCACAGGAGACCGCCCTACGACAGTGGTTTTCGACGTGGACGTCACGTTGCTACTGGAGACGGCCAGCACGCGACCAGGCGATGAAAAAGCAACCACCCTGGAGACAGTGAGTCCTGGTCTGACGTCAGCTGTGCCAAGAGATTCTGACGTCACGCTGTCCCCGGAAGGTATCAGGACAACTTCTCCAGGGGAAACGCCGTCGTCGCTTGTGGTCAAGAGACGAATGGTTCCCGTTGGAGCACGGTGAGAAGTTTGTACTTGTATCAGCTTCTGAGGCTTGCCTTGATCTCTGTCGCTTTTGTCTCCTCTGGAATCACCCAAATGAAAAAAAATTAGAAAGAAATTACCCTAGATGTTGCCTAAATTTACCACCCATATTTTTCTATTTTTCACTTCATAGTCATATTATTCATATTGTTATATAAACATAGCATACTTTAAAAATGAAATAGAATTGTTGTCTGAAAGATGAGTGACTGGAAGGGTTGCATGTAAGGTAACCTGTTTGTCCAATTTGAGACCCTTATAAAATAAAGTGCATTCGTTCGTTAATTAGAAATTCACATAACGACGCTCGCCATCGCCAAGCGATATGAATCCTATGTCTCACTTAAGCACTATTTAACAATATCGTCTGGAAAGATGGAACGGAACCAAAGAACTGCTACACCTCACTGCAGTCACATTCTGTTATATGTAGGCACAAAGCCATATGATCCATTTTAAAAATATATATATAACAAGAATACTAACTAAAACGAACAACTGCAACAAATGTTTTGATTCAATAAATAATTTTGTTTTTTCATCATACTGTTTCCCCATGGCGAAGTTGTCAGGCCGTTTGTCTGGGACAAAAAGGTTGTTCGCACGTTTCACGGACACGTCGTTAAGTTTACGCGAGCAGTTTTTATGGAGATCCATTATGGTCTTCGCTGGAAGTTCGTGCTATGTGCAAAGCACTCAACACATCCCATGCAGTTCGGGGATCGAATTTCCTCTGACTGCATTAGTTTGCGACCACCGCATATCTTGTTCACCCAACCCTCGATATTATCTGCTCTAATTTGCTTTTAACTGTAACTATCCCACCGCGAGCTCGCTGACGAAGAAACACAAAAGCACGTCCCATGCAATTCAGTGGTCGAAATGTCCCCTAATTGCACCAGTTTGCGACCACCGCATATCTCGCTCGGCTAAAGCTTTATAAAACACAAAATACACTAGTTCCAGCTTAATCTTGTCATCCCCTTGTGGGATGCAATTTTTAGTTTTTTTTTTTTTTAAAGCCCCACCCTGGCTTCTGCCGGGGACCCTAAAAAAAGCGGAGCCTGAAATATGGCCTTACAGCTGTATGGGGCTTCCAGGACCTCTTCACGGGTGATCCTCATCCGCATAGTGACACTTTATGTCATCTGGTGTTTATCGCTTGTGTGATGTCCTGGTTGGGTACAACGTACATACATACGTAGTTCTAACATGCTCTTTCTTGTATTTGTAGTGTATAGTTAATTTTAGCAGTTCAGACTATTTTCTCTAAACTATATTTCTACTGATTAACTCAGTTACAATTTCCACAGATCAGTACCCAAATGTTAACATGTCCACAGATCAGTACCCAAATGTTACCATGTCCACAGATCAGTACCCAAATGTTACCGTGTCCACAGATCAGTAACCAAATGTTACCGCGTCCACGGATCAGTACCCAAATGTTACCATGTCCACAGATCAGTACCCAAATGTTACCATGCCCACAGATCAGTACCCAAATGTTACTATGTCCACAGATCAATACCCAAATGCTACCATGTCCACATATCAGTACTCAAATGTTACTATGACCACAGATCAGTACCCAAATGTTACCATGTCCACAGATCAGTACCCAAATGTTACCATGTCCACAGATCAGTACCCAAATGTTACCGTGTCCACGAATCAGTACCCAAATGTTACCATGCCCACAGATCAGTACCCAAATGTTACTATGTCCACAGATCAGTACCCAAATGTTACTATGTCCACAGGTCAGTACCCAAATGTCACCATGTCCACAGATCAGTACCCAAATGTTACCGTGTCCACAGATCAGAACCCAAATGTTACCGTGTCCACAGATCAGTACCCAAATGTTACCATGTCCACAGATCAGTACCCAAATGTTACTGTGCCCACAGATCAGTACCCAAATGTTACCGTGTCCACAGATCAGTACCCAAATGTTACCGTGTCCACAGATCAGTACCCAAATGTTACCGTGTCCACAGATCACTTCCCAAATGTTACCGTGTCCACAGATCAGTACCCAAATGTTACTGTGTCCACAGATCAGTACACAAATATTATCATGTCTACAGATTAGTACCCAAATATTACCACGTCCACAGATCAGTACCCAAATGTTACCATGTCCACAGATCAGTACCCAAATGTTACCATTTCCTTTGCTAAGTACCAAAATGTTACCATGTTCACAGATCAGTACCCAAAGGTTACCACGTCTACAGATTAGTACCCAAATGTTATCACGTCCACATATCAGTACCCAAATGTTACCATGTCCACAGAACAGTACTCAAATGTTACCATTTCTACTGATCAGTACCCAAATGTTACCATTTCTACTTATCAGTACCCAAATGTTACCATGTCTACAGATTAGTACCCAAATGTTACCATGTCTACACATCAGTACCCAAATGTTACCATGTCCACAGATCAGTACCCAAATGTTACCATTTCTACTGATCAGTACCCAAATGTTACCATGTCTACAGATCAGTACCAAAATGTTACCATGTCTACAGATCAGTACCCAAATGTTACCATGTCTACAGATTAGTACCCAAATGTTACCATGTCTACAGATCAGTACCCAAATGTTACCATGTCCACAGATCAGTACCCAAATGTTACCATGTCTACAGATCAGTACCCAAATGTTACCATGTCCACAGATCAGTACCCAAATGTTACCATGTCTACAGATCAGTGCCCAAATGTTACCATGTCTACAGATCAGTACCCAAATGTTACCATGTCCACAGATCAGTACCCAAATGTTACCATGTCTACAGATTAGTACCCAAATGTTACCATGTCTACACATCAGTACCCAAATGTTACCATGTCCACAGATCAGTACCCAAATGTTACCATTTCTACTGATCAGTACCCAAATGTTACCATGTCTACAGATCAGTACCAAAATGTTACCATGTCTACAGATCAGTACCCAAATGTTACCATGTCTACAGATTAGTACCCAAATGTTACCATGTCTACAGATCAGTACCCAAATGTTACCATGTCCACAGATCAGTACCCAAATGTTACCATGTCTACAGATCAGTACCCAAATGTTACCATGTCCACAGATCAGTACCCAAATGTTACCATGTCTACAGATCAGTGCCCAAATGTTACCATGTCTACAGATCAGTACCCAAATGTTACCATGTCCACAGATCAGTACCCAAATGTTACCATGTCTACAGATCAGTACCCAAATGTTACCATGTCCACAGATCAGTACCCAAATGTTACCATGTCTACATATCAGTACCCAAATTTTACCATGTCTACAGATTAGTACCCAAATGTTACCATGTCTACAGATCAGTACCAAAATGTTACCATGTCTACAGATCAGTACCCAAATGTTACCATGTCTACAGATTAGTACCCAAATGTTACCATGTCTACAGATCAGTACCCAAATGTTACCATGTCCACAGATCAGTACCCAAATGTTACCATGTCTACAGATCAGTACCCAAATGTTACCATGTCCACAGATCAGTACCCAAATGTTACCATGTCTACAGATAAGTGCCCAAATGTTACCATGTCTACAGATCAGTACCCAAATGTTACCATGTCCACAGATCAGTACCCAAATGTTACCATGTCTACAGATCAGTACCCAAATGTTACCATGTCCACAGATCAGTACCCAAATGTTACCATGTCTACAGATCAGTACCCAAATGTTACCATGTCTACAGATTAGTACCCAAATGTTACCATGTCTACAGATCAGTACCCAAATGTTACCATGTCCACAGATGAGTACCCAAATGTTACCACGTCTACAGATCAGTACCCAAATGTTACCATGTCTACAGATTAGTACCCAAATGTTACCATGTCCACAGATCAGTACCCAAATGTTACCATGTCTACAGATCAGTACCCAAATGTTACCATTTCTACTGATCAGTACCCAAATGTTACCATGTTTACAGATCAGTACCCAAATGTTACCATTTCTACTGATCAGTACCCAAATGTTGTTACCGTGTCTACACATTACTACACAAATGTTACCATTTCTACTGATCAGTACCCAAATGTAAACGTGTCCAAAGATCAGTACCCATGCTTAATAATTAAACTAATAATAGATAACGTAGACTATGACACTGCCTCTCTATCTGTGTCTTTTGTTTCCAGATGGCCGCAAGGTTCATACATATTTCACAATTAGTTGTAATTCTTGTCCACGTGGGTTATCTTTCTTTGATTCCAGCTGCGGGTTACTAGACAGCAGACCGCCTTGAGTTAATTTCTACGTTGGCATCGAGAGCCGACCGTTCAGACAAAAGCAATGGCAAACTGCTGAAGGTAAACATTGCCTTGTGAAATCCCGAACAGACCCAAATATGGCTTGCAGTCAATACTGCAAGTAGGCGAGTTTTCTGTTTTATAGTCGAGGCAAGTTGATGCTTTTGACAATAGTTAGATGACGCACTTTTCTCCATAAATCGATTGAAAGAATATAACTATTGGGCTGATTGCATGGCATGTCACTGTGAACTGCAGATTTAATGTGGAATGCTTTTCGACTAAGCCCAGCGTGGTTGTTTTGCGAACTACAGATTCAGAAAACGACGACTGATCTGTTGCCAGAGAACTTTGTGGTGCCTTAAACGGTTAATTTCCTCTGCAACTATTTATCTGTTCTAACTGCTGCTTCCATTGACGAGTAGCTGCATTTCTAGTGTCGGACTGTCTGTGCTGGCACTTTTGACTGCTGCTTTTCGTATTTAATGGGCGTGTGTGCTGTTGGATATACAAGACTGCAGTCTTTGTCATTTTTTTTCTACAAGGGACAACGATAGAGATTCTGTGTGGCTTTCGTTGACAAGAACAGTGCAGCTATGGTGTTGACCCGTTTGCTATGGAGTTAGAACTGCGAGTACCTGATCACATGAGGACCCCCACCCCTCCACCCCCACCCCTCCACCCCCTCCCATAAGACAAAAACAACAGACTGGGATTGATTCTGCAACGTCTTACAACTAGCTGTTTCCCCTTATACTGCAGTGGTTCACAAACTTCCTTATGCCACGACCCTTTAATACAATTTCTCATGTTGTGATGACCCCCAACTATACAATTATTTTCCTTGTTAGTTCATGGCTTTAGTGAATATGTGTTTTCCGATGGTTTCAGACGACCCCTGTGAAAGGGTCGTTCGACAGCTACAAGAGTCGCGACCCATACCCTGAGAACCGCTGTTCTAGTGGCTGCTCTACAGAAAATTCCGAACACTTGGATAGCTACCTGTGAGCAAGGTTACTGGGAGATACACACCTGAAAATCTCCAGCACCAGGGTGTCGCCGGCAGCCTCGACCAGCTCTAAGGCCTCGTCCTGGGTTTTGTCATGGACGTGCACGCCGTTGATGGAGATCACAGCGTCTCCTTCCTTCAGACCCTGCACGTGCGCCTGGCTTTTCTTGCGAATCTGGAAAAAAAAACATGAATTTGTAAATCTTTAGAGTATGATTTTGTGTGTAGACTTTTCATCGCTAAATTATGGTTTTGTGAAAGGTTCTAGAATGGACTTGGAGACTATAAAGGACTGTGGGCTGTCTTTAGGCCATCCAACAAACGTATGATGAGTTGCAGTAGCGAGGCGTGACCATTTAGCATGTGTAGGCGTTAGCAGGTAACGATTACCCTTTCACATAATACCCCCCCCCCCTTTTCATTTCATTGTTAGAAGAGTAGTACAGTACTATACCTGGTAGCTTTCATATCTTACAGTTTCTTCATGAGTGGCAAAAGCATGCGGCTAGCGTTCTTTTCGCTAGGTTAGAGAATAAACTCCCTCGACACCCACAGCGGTAAAAGAGGAAGTGAAGAAGAAGTGAAGAAGAAGAGAATAAACAGTAAAACTTTTTTTTTTTTTTTTGGAACAACGGATCAACATCATGGCACATGGGTGGTAACCCATAAGTGCTCCGGTCTTCTTCGGACCCAGACTTGAGTCAGAAGAAGCTCAGCACAGTGCAACACTGTAACACAGCAATATTATTGGACCTTTCTGGGGATTCTGTGGTTCCCCGTGTTTGGGGTGAACTAAAATGAAAATACCCTGGAAACGTCCAATATTATAGGGGTGTTACGGTAGCACCGGCGAGGATGCTGAAATAATTTTGGTAGATTTTTAAATCCAAATTTTGCCCGGGCAGCGCCTTTAGACTACTCTTTTCGATTTCCAACTGCAAAGGACTTCTTTTTTTTTTTTTTTTTTTCGTGCCCAGCAATGCACACGGGTGTTCGATTTCACTACCCAGAGACCAGGGGGAATTCCTAGAAGTCCAAGTCAATGTGAAAAAATCCCAGCCCTTACCGGTAATTGAACCCGGAACCTCTAGCACTCGAGGCGGACACCATGCTTCGAGACCATGCAGCCCCCAAACAGTAGAGCGTAATAATAAATAGCAAATAAAATGCATTTTTGGAAAGTGTGTGCGGCGATTTCAGCCGTTACATGCACGCCTCATCACATGCTCGTATACATTTGCAATACATGCGTATTCCACACTTACAATGGGTACTTTCATTTTTATCTCACCCCAAACACCGAAAACTCCGGAATCCCCGGGAAAGGGTACTTTCATTTTAGCTTATCACAGAGAACCCCGGAATCCTCGGGGAAGGCCAATATTATGGGGTGTTAGGTTTAGGATTAGGGTTAGCGTTAGAGTTGGTCAGTGTTCATTTCAAACAGTAACACACCAATATTATTGGACCTTTCTGGGGATTCCGTGGTTCCCCGTGTTTGGGGTGATCTAAAAGGAAAATACTCTGGAAACGTCCAATATTATGGAGGTGTTACGGTTTGAAATGATCACGGACCATCCCTAACCATAACCCAAACACCAATAAAACATTTGTCTTTCCCAGGGATTCTGTGATTTTCTGTGTTTGGGGTAAGCTTCAATGAAAGTACCCAGTGCACCCAGAATGCTTCAAAAACACTGCTTCAGTCTGGAAGTCATGTTTCCAAATTTAAGCAGCTTCCGCAACATTTGCAGACCTGTAAGGTAGACAACAAAGCAGGCCCTCTGACGCCTGCACCATCTACAGATAGCTTTTTATGCGTCACGTTCCAGCCGTATCCTTCCGCATGAAATTAGTAGATCTTTGCATTCTATTATTTCAAAAGAGAATCACCTTTCCTGTGTACCCGGCTCCAACATCTGTCGAAATGCATGCCTCTCTGGCGCAGTTTATCGCTTTATCAGTCACATCGACAGAAAAAAGATTTCGTTGAGATAGGACGGTGTAGGAATGCCGGGCAAATTATTTTTCGCATGCGCCGTGCATCAAACATATAAGGTTGAATATTGTTTGTTTGCTGCTGACTAGATATCCATGGCCGTTTTCAACAACTGTTTCCAAAAACGTAATGTCCACTAGTGCATTATGGGAGCGAGTCATGGTCGTACAATAAAGCACTCAGAGATAGTGCGGTACAAAAGAACACAGTCTGCTGTAACACGTAAAAGATAGGTCTGATATAGCACGGTCAAAAGAGAAGTCTGTGATAGCACAATGCAAGAAAGGTCTAATACAGCACGGTCAAGAAAGGTATGTGGCAGCACGGTTCAAGATAGGTATCATTTAGTATAATCAAGAGAGAAGTCTGTGATAGTAGGGTACAAAATAGAAGTCTGAGATAGTTGTATACAGGAGTGTGATAACACGGACCTGGATAACACGGACCTGGATAGAAGTCTGAGATAGTTGGATACAGGAGTGTGATAACACGGACCTGGATAACACGGACCTGGATAAAAGTCTGAGATAGTTGGGTACAGGAGTGTGATAACACGGACCTGGATAACACGGACCTGGATAGAAGTCTGAGATAGTTGGGTACAGGAGTGTGATAACACGGACCTAGATATAAGTTTGAGATAGCTGGGTACAGGAGTGTGATAACACAAACCTGGATAGAAGTCTGAGATAGTTGGATACAGGAGTGTGATAACTGGAATAATGGCTTAACTTCTGAACGGGGTTTCCAGCACCTCTCCACGTGTGATCCTTATCTGCATGGTGGCACTTTGTGTCAGTGGGTGTTAATCGCTTATGTAAAGTCCTGTGGGGTACAACTTACATACATTCATAAGTCCGTCGCTACTGATCTGTTGTAACTGTTGCTTCCATCGACAATGGATTGCATTTCTAGTGTCGGGGGGTGTTTAATGAGCCTGAATACTGTTAGATTTGCTGGGACTCAGTCTGTGTCAACTGTTGGTCACTAGGGACAGTGATGGATGCTCGGTTTAGTTTTTAACTGGTACATTAACGGAATACTATGAAGTTTCAACTGCGATTATCTGATTACCTTCAAATAATGATTGACATTTATAAACATGGTACTCCTCTATTTAAGATTGCGTCGGTTGAAGATGGCACTCGAATATTTTGGTTTGTAGTTTCTGAACATGGCACTGCTCCAGTTTGATTTGCAGCGTCGGAACATGGTATATCTCAGTTTACAGAATGAAAGAAGCTGACGGTATAGTTTCGGTTGCTTCTGTTAACGCCATTAGTCTGCGCCCTAACATTCCCCCCTGCTGTCTTGCAATACACAGACATGAGAATAATCTCTGACCTTTCCATACACCCGGTTCACGAACACGTGATGTACATTTCATATCACCTCTGGGAACATTTTCGACTGCACGTTCCCGGGAAGAAAGTACACGTGTGTGCCTCTTGACATTTGTTCTATCATTCTGTACTGTCGACTGTTCATCATGAGAGACTAATCCAGAAACATTCGTGCTGTCTTCTAATACATCCAAGTTACACAGAGCCAACTCTTTGCCGCATGCCTAAAAAGAAACCAATGGGTCATGTGCTGACATACTTAGTCGACCCTCTTCTACCTTGGTGTGTAGAGGTGTGCCAGAGAGATCGTCAGACTTCTCTGTCAGCAGTTTTCTTTCTGGCTTTGTTCCATTCCAGTCCTCTGTCCGTCAGGACTGTCGGATTTTGTCTTCCCAACGAAACCAGAGTAGTTCTAAAGGTCCGCTTCTCTGTTTCTTGGCCTCACATCCCTGTTCTGGTGGTTGACTCTCTCTCTCTCTCTCTCTCTCTCTCTGCTTTTCTCTCTCTCTCTCTCTCTATCTATCTATCTCTATCTCTCTCTCTCTCTCTCTCTCTCTCTCTCTCTCTCTCTCTCACACACACACACACACACACATTCTGCATACAAGTTCAAACCATTGTAACGGTGACTAATCGATCAAGACGAATTGTCTGGATGCGAATGTTGTCCCTTCTTGTCACTTAAACCACACTTCTCGGATGCCACATTTCTCAGATGCCACATTTCTCAGATGCCACATTTCTGAGGCAGAAAACTGGCTTCTGTGAGCTGTTCTCATTGCCCATGACTCACACTCGTCGGTCAGGGCTAGCACATAGGTCAAGCAATCATGTAGCATTTTAAAAATAAAGAACGTCTGCAACAGATCTCCAGCATTCTATATCTCGCCTTGGCGACAGTCGTTCAGACTGCAGTTGTTCATCTCATCATGGTATTGTCCCACTTTATCAAGGACTATCTGTCCTTCCTATGCATTAAACTTTTTATGATTCACAAACACACACACGCACACACACACACACACACACACACACACAAACACACGAGTGTGTATATATGTGTGTGTGTTTGTGTGTGCGTGATCATATATTACGGCGTACTGTCTCCTCTATCTCTGTCTGTCAGTCAAAACAGAAGCTCTGATCTCAATCTATGCCCATTTCTGCGTCTGCCCGCCTGCCAGGCCAACAGATTCCGCCTGGTGCTATACTGGCGACCCTGATGTGTGCACACATCACTTCAACCATCCTTCAGTGTTAGTGTATTTTGTATCGTGTTTGTGAGTTCTCAGGTTTACAGTTTATACTTCACACCGAGATAACTGAGATATGCAGTGGTGTGTGTGTGCGTGCGTGCGTGTGCATGTGTGCGCCTGTGTGTGTGCATGCGTGTGTGTGTGTGTGCGCGCCCTGTGTGTGTGTGTGTGTGTAAATGCACCATTTACCCATCTGGGGGATTCTAGATAACTTATTTTGTGTAGCCGTCATTACATCCTAACAAAATGATGACTAATTCTCTCTCTCTCCCCTCTCTCTCTCATCTCCCCATGTCTAGTTGTATATTTATGTGATGTGTGTGTGTTGTGTGTGTGTGTGTGTGTGTGTGTGTGTGTGTGTGTATGGATATGTCTCTAACCTTCTTTCTCTCCCAATTTATCTCATCGATTAAAACTGCCTCAATTCCTTTCAACAGTCCATTCACCCTCCCCTTTCTTTTCACTCTCTACGGATCTCATCATTTGTGTTTCTATCTCTGTAAGTTTCTTTCTACAAAAAATATTTTTTCTGATACCCATCCCCCGCCCTCTCTCCCTCTCTCTCTCTCTCTCTCTCTCTCTCTCTCTCTCTCTCTCTCTCTCTCTCTCTCTCTCTCTCTCTCTCTCTCTCTCATTTTCTCCCCATCTCTCTTTTTACTAACATTTATTTCTATGGCATCTATGTCAATTATTCTGTCGCCTTGTTCTTATCTGTCTCAATCTTCTGTCTCTTATTCTCATCCTTACTCTCTCTCTCTCTCTCTCTCTCTCTCTCTCTCTCTCTCTCTCTCTCTCTATCATTCTTTCTCTGTCTCTAATTCTCTCTTTTTACTCACATTTGTCCCAGTCTATAGCATCTATCTCAGTCATTCTGTCTCCGTGTTCGCATTTGTCTCAAACTTCTCTCTCTCTCTCTCTCTCTCTTTCTTCCTCCCATTCTCTCTCTTATACTTTATCTCGCTACCCCCTCCCCCCCCCCCCTCTCTCTCTCTTGTTTCAGACCTCTTTAGTATCTCATTCTCTCTCTGGGACATCTTTCAACTGTTAGTAGTCGAAAGGGGTAGACAAACATTGGAACAAATCACAAACTCGGGCGGATCTCCGCCCATCTACACACTAGCTGTAATTTCATTGATGCTTGGTCGGGCTGGTTAACCTTGGTCAAGATTAGAGGGGTGTGCCGGTGTACTTCTGAATAAACACAGCTTTCTGCGTTAGGTGCTAATGCTTATTATGGGAGAAGCGGCCGCCCAAATTGTCTACTAACTCGTAAGCATTATTTTTTTTTTTTCTGGAAGTTTGACAGCCGTCTATGATTTTGCATAGAAAATGGGCTAATTACAGAGGATGGCGTTGCGTGTCTGCAGCGATACAGCGTTGTACGGGCCACCGTAAAATTTTAAGAAGTCTGAAACCACGGTACGTGGAATGCAGTCTCGTCGGACCTGTGTTTAGTGTGTGAGAAAGGGTGTTTGAGGGTTAGGGCCAGTTGTACATGTTATAGGGTCGTTAAAGGCGCTCACCTCCTCTAATACCGAGCCCGCATAGTCGCGAGCTGGAGTGTCGACTGAGCTGACATCCCCGCCACTTACACTTGCGCGTCTCACAGGTTAAGGCGGAGACTGAACGTCCAATCACAGTGTTCTAGCCGGACTCCGTCAATCAAACGTGTGTAGATGGGCGGAGATAGGCCTGAGTTTGTGAGTTGTGCCCAAACTTTTGCTCTCAGACAAATATATCGGAAATTGGAAACCTGCCACACACACACACACACACACACAAAATGAACTAAGTGTGCCCATAACGGTTATAATTCTGATCCAGTTCTTACCTTGTTGATAATCAGGGGCATCCCCCCACCGCCAGATAAACGAAAGCCCCAGGGGGCCCCTCCAGTTAGGGTGATCTGGAGTCTGTCGGAGCTCACCATGATGCAGAGTTGTGGGCGTGGTCTAAGCAGACGAGAAAGACGTGGTTACAGCGTGACGTCGACTCTTGATCCCCCAGCTGACGTGTGAGGTCACGTCACTCTAGATACATCACAGAGTTTGGTCGATGCTGGACGGAAGTAATGTCTGAGCACCTGGTTCTTGACTCTGTCGATAACATCAGAAACAGTAACATTGAGCACATTAAGCACTTCTGCCAATCATGCATTTTCTTTTACAGTGCATTTTGTAGGTTAAAAAAAAATTAAAGGGCTTTTTTCCCACGCCTTCAGGCGTACTGGGCTTACGGAGCTAGATCGATATTTTGTTTCTTAATTTATAACGTACCCCAAACACGAAATCCCCGTGGGAAATCCACAGCTGACCTGATAGTCCATTATTCAAAGGGGTGGAAGTGTGCTGTTGTGTGTGTGTGTGTGTTTTTTTTTTTTTTTTTTTAGTGTTCATCTAGTGTCTTCTAATCCTAACCCTAACCCTAAACTTGGGTGTAGATAAATCGCGAGAAACTACAACCTGAACACCCTAGAATTTATTGGGAATGTCTCCCGTGACGTTGTCGTGACGTCAGGGGTAAGTTATAAATTAAGTACCGATATTTTTTATAAAGCAAGTGGTACTTGGTGGGTGACGTGGTCAGCACAAGGGCGGTAGCCTTTACTTCCCAGGATTGCGCCTGGTACCCACTCAAAACTGTGTCGACCTGGGACCCAAGGTCACTTTTGAAACAAAACAAGTCTGGCTCCGTCAGGGCCCGAACTCACGACCTTTCGATCCGCAGGCGAGCGTCTAGCCGCTACACCACGGCTACTCCTTACAATGTATTTTGACTACAGTTGATCTGCAAGACTCTTTCAGGTGTCTCCGTCTACAGGTGGTCAAGGCGTTTGCCTCGCACTTTGAAGGTCGTGTGTTCGTTCCACGGCTATCTCTGTCGGTTCACCGGTGCAATTTTCACGAGGACCCCCGGGGATCGTCGCCGGAGCTACGGTGTTCATACTGTGTGCCACGCTCTTGACAGACGGCTAGCCGTTCTGCTTAGAGAGACCAAGCAATTTTGAAGGGGAAAAAAAACGGTGCAGTGCAGGTCCTCTCTACTTCGATCTTCTATCTAAGGCTATCGATCGTCACAGTTGTACAGTCTAGATGTTATCCTCCCACTTGAATCGCTGTATACTTCTTTCTAGCTTGTCTTCAAAGTTCCCCTCCATTAGGGTACAGAGAAAACACTGTGGTGAGGGTGGGGGGGGGGGGGAGCTATAGGTGCCTGGGCTCCCAGATTCCCTCCAGTGCCTGTGGTAGGGAATGTTGTTTCATGTAGCCGACATATTTCAACTCTTCCTTGACTCAAGCAGGCTGTATCTGCCATGTTTGTACCTAAAGACTTCAGTGAGAAGTGAGAACCGATTACTCTGATCGTTAGTTACACTTCATTGTCAAAGTCACACACACAAATAATGGCAGAATAAAGCACAGGGAGATGAGCTACATGGCATGTAAAGATGGATGGCAAAAGTCTAAGAATAATAAAGAACATACTTTGGCTCGGTCCTGCGAATACAGCCTATTGCAGTGGCGCCGCAACAGTGAAAACAGTGAAAGGGGGTGGAGGGTTGGGTTGAATAACACCCAATCCAATAATTTTCTGGAGGGATGGGAGCGCTCAAGCCAAGTTTAACTGCACAAAATAATTATACAATAAATTATTATTATTATTTTGATTATGATTATTATTTGTATTATGATTTTTGCGCAATTAACCGTAGGCTTAAACCAATTGAGCCACTGTCCAACGCTAATATAATATTTGGAAAAGGGGGAGGGGTATATGGCGGTAGCTGTACATTCTTACTGATAAAAAAACAATTCAGTGGCTGGTATGGTCTGCATGACTCCAGCTGTTTTCACTTCCCAAAATATTTCCCGACAGGTCCTTTAGTCTGGATTCCTCTGTTCACCAGCACAATCTACTTCTCGAAGGGGATTCGAATCAATGACCACAGTAAGGTATGCGCCCTAGCCACTGCAATGGACGGGGCCGACGTTCGCAATGCTCTCAAGGAGGCAGGACGAAAAGATGATTCAGGAGACGATGTTAAATCGGCAACACACACAAGACTTCAAAAACCTCAGGTCAAAAGAGGTGTCACCAAACATAAACAAGAAGGAGAGGGAGGAGAGGGTGAGCAGGAGGAGAAAAAGAAGAAGAAGACGAAACAGAAAAAGTAGTAGTAGTAGTAGTAGCAGCAGTAGTAATAGTAGTAGTAGTAACAGTAGTAGTAGTAGTAGTAGTAGAAGTAGTAGTAGCAACAGCAGCAGCAGCAGCAGCAGTAGTAGTAGTAGTAGCAGCAGCAGTAGTAGTAGTAGTAGCAGCAGTAATAGTAGCAGTAGCAGCAGCAGCAGTAGTAGTAGTAGTAGTAGTAGTAGTAGTAGTAGTAGTAGTAGTAGTAGTAGTAGTAGTAGTAGTAGTAGTAGTATTAGTAGTAGTAGTAGTAGTAGTAGTAGTAGTAGTAGTAGTAGTAGTAGTAGTAGTAGTAGTAGTAGTAGAAGGAGGGTGTGGAGGAGGTTAGTGAAAGTGTTAGGTCGAAAGGTTCATATGTCCCATCCTGGCTGTAAAACACAGCGCAACGTGCTAACCGCCTTTCTAGGGGCGAAAGAAGAAGAAGAAGAAGAAGAAGAAGAAGAAGAAGAAGAAGAAGAAGAAGAAGAAGAAGAAGAAGAAGAAGAAGAAGAAGAAGAAGAAGAAAAAGAAGAAGAAGAAGAAGAAGAAGAAGAAGAAGAAGAAGAAGAAGAAGAAGAAGAAGAAGAAGAAGAAGAAGAAGAAGAAGAAGAAGAAGAAGTAGAAGAAGAAGAGAAGAAGAAGAAGAAGAAGAAGAAGAAGAAGAAGAAGAAGAAGAAGAAGAAGAAGAAGATGATGATGATGATGAAAAAAAAATAGTAGTTGTATCAGCAGCAGTAGTAGTATGAGGAGGATGAGCACGAAGAGCAGGAGGATGTGGAGGAGGTTACTGAAAGTCTCGCACAAAGACATTTTTACTGTATATGTATTTGCAAACATGTTTGCAACTTAAACATCCACAGCCGAGCTATGATCGAAATGTTTGAAGATATGTCAAAATGTAAGTAACTCTAGTGCAAAACGGCATGCATTCTGAAGCACTGAGCTGACACATTGTTAGAATCCTGGCACGATCGTACAGATACCACGCCCACTTCTTTCTTTGTTTCGTTTCTCAAGGAGTGATCTTTGTTTTTACAAGCCCTCAAGGGCGATGCGCAAGCTGAAAAGCTCTCACAAGAGAGATGCATCACTACAGTCATCTCTAGACAGACTTTGAGCTGCCACCTGGCCCGCTTTGATTATCAGGCGATTGGGAAGATTCCAGAATGTAAGCAGCATTTCCAGCATTGCGGGGGAAAGGGAGGGGGGAGGGGGGTAATCAGAACTAATACCAGCCTTGCATTAGAGGTTGTTTATTTAGCCTCAGTTTACTAACGTCACCAGGGCGGAGATAACCTGGGCTGGCCATGCAAGTAGAGATGTGTGCCAGTCTGACCCGCACTTCCTTGGTTATCTAACCTAAACAAAAACCACCTTCAAGCTCTGATATTGCCACCTTGTGTTGGCACTTGTCCGTCTTTCCAGACGATTACGTTAAATTGTGCTATGTTCAGGCATGGAACTCGCAGACGAAGATGCCGGGGAGTGTTACCAGCAAGACCCGCCAGCGTTAAGATAGGCTTTCCACAATGAAAGCATGGGATTTCACGACACTTGTTACCGTCACGTGTATTTAGTGCGGTTTTTCTCAGACACTCAGCTCTCAACTTTTTTTTGCAGTCATCACCCCCCCCCCCCCCCCCCCCCCCTAATCTTTTATTCCCATTTCTATCCTGATTTCCCTCATCCAAGTTCACTGGCATTTTTCCCCCTAACTAATTTACCTCAATAACTGTATCATTCATACCCCGCTTGCACACATCTTTATATTGTAGTAGAGGTTGACCTCGACATCTTTTACTCATCTTTAATTCACCACAGAGGTATCCTTAGGGACTCTACCGTCCTCAATTCTCCAAGTGTTGTCGAGCCATAAAATAATAATAATAATAATAATAATAATAATAACTATTATTATTATTATTATTATTATTACAGTTCCACTACAATTATGTGCTCAAATTTATATATATTTGAAAACAATATTGAATGTATACAAAAATGGTTTTAAAAAGAAAAGGTTTGTATGTGATGGTATGCAAACCCTGCTTCTCCAAAACAAATTAATTTATTGGCATGGAGCGGGAAGGGCGGAGGAAGATGGGGGGGGGGTGTGTGGGTGGGGGAGGGTAGGCTCCTTCCTGGTACCACGTGTTCTGCTTTTTCTTTTCAGTTCGCTGTGGCGAGTGATCAGACCAAAATATTTCAGCTTCCGAGACAAGTTGTTATTTATTAACCAATCTTCTTTGATGATTGTTAAGATCTTGTAGATTGTCAGTATTTCTTCTCTTCCTTATACCAAGGTATTCTGAGAATCTTCCTATAGCGTTTCAGCTCAAAAGCCACTTTTTTTATCTTTAAGTAAGGCGAAATAGTCCACGACTCATATCTGTATGTTGCTGCATTGAAGATTCGTGCTCTGAAAATGGTAACTCAGATTAACTTGATGGTGCTTAACCACAGACTTTATTGCTGTTTAATCTATGTATTAAAATAAAAGCGTCCCCATGTGGGATGTAAATTGTGTGTTATTTGAAGCCCCACCCTGACTTCTGCCAGGTGCCCTGAATATAGCCGAGCCATAAATATGACCTAACCGTAAAAATGGCCATAACAGCTGAAAGGGGTTTCTCCACGGGTGATTCTCATCCGCATGGTTGCACTTTGTGTCACTGGGTGTTTATCGCTTGTCTGATGTCCTGGGAGAGGGGAGAAAGGGGGGGGGGGGTTGGGGGTTTACAACTACCAACAAATCAATCTAGG